AAATGGGAAGGTCTAAACAGGAAGTCAGCCTTCCGTTTCTTTGTAGACAGAATAAAGCAAAGACAACATAAACTAGAGCTCAGAAAATCGCTTCTAAAGGATTGGCTTTCATCATTTAAAATTGTTGAACCCCCCTTCGGTAGCAGGAGAAGAAGGGGGATCTTTTTCGGACTGTTTAAACCTGCAGAAGTGAGTTTAAAGTAGAGTAACTTTCCACCGTCCTGATCCTGGAGCGGGGTGTCAGGACTGACGTTTGAAGCTCATTGACCAGAGACAAACGTTTTTGACAGATAGCTAAAAGAAGAGAAACATAGTGACTCCACTGTTTCCTTTCGCATTTTTAAGGAACAAATATTGACAAAATATCTCAAAAAGGAAACTTTGTTGCTAGATTTGTCCTTAAAAGAAAGAACAAATAGAAGTTTTCCCCCTAGAGGGAGACTGTGAAACTGTAACTAATTCCAGGGAGCTTGCAGCTGTCACAGATTACAATCGTGGGAATAGATTTGTGACCTTGTAGGACAATGTATTCAGAAGCTCTGTTGTGTGCTCTCTGTAAAACAAATGCCCTACTGGAACAGTTAAATGAGAAGACGGATTTGATGACTAATGCGGTCAGAATTTTTGAACAGGCAGTGGGAAACTATATGGAGCCCACCCAGGAATTAAATCAGGAGTGTGCCCTGACAGAACAGATGAGAGAAGAGGATGTTGCTGAATCTTGGGCGCCAGAGATGGAGGGGGCTGCGGCCCTGCAGGAACATGAGCTTTTGGATTTGACAAATGAACTTGGAAAAAGCCAGATTTGGAAAGATAAAGTTTGGACTGGTTTGGAAATGGGGGGTTGGATAGACCCCCCTATGCAGGGATGTTTGGACTTTCCGAGTCTGGCAATGGGCCGTGAAATGTTTGGAACTGTGGGGGCTCTCAATTTTGGAGGGATTCTGAAACATGTTTTTAAATATTACATGGAGTTTAGTCTGGACTATGGAAAAGGGACTGATTTGTTGAAAAGGGTCAAAAACATTACTAAGCTGGAGTTCCCATGAGTGAAAGGAGAATATGAAGAAGAGCCGCGGAAGGGACATGGAAGAGACTTAAGGACCTCGGATATAAGGTTACCAGATTAATGCGCTAGATTAATGGGATAAAAAGGACTGACAAAACCCGGGACCAGGAGGAAGGGACGCTGGATGAAGATTGGATTGTTTTTATTTCTTTTTTTATTACTAGGATTGTTTTATATAATTGATGAATGTTAGAAAAATGTTGGAACGAAATTACTTGGCTCTAGCAAAAATGTTTAAAGAATTAGGTAAGAATATTATGGTTATGAGAAGTTGGTAAAAATAAGATTTAAGTTTTAAGTTTTAAGGTTTTTTATAAGATAAGATGAAAATAGATTAAGGTAATGTAATGACAGAATATTATGAAATATGGAAAGGATTTGCTGTGATAATTATTAACCAGGATACAAAAAAAAGGGAGGAGGAGGAGGTCAAAGAAAGAAGGTAATGAAAGTGGAGGATTCTTTTTTCTCTTTGTTTTTTCTTTTTTCTTCTTCTGTTTTTTCCCCCCTGTAATTCTAAAAAATTTTCAATAAATATCTTTTTTTTTTTTAAAAAAAAAGGATGCTGGACTAGATAAGCCAATGGTATGATCTAGCAGGGCTCTTCTTATGTTCCTAGTTATAGTGGGCACATCCAGGCACCCAATTAGCTGGCAACTGACTGTGCAAGGCTGACCCCAGAAACATCCAATGGCCATCTTACCCCCTGTTTGGAATTATTCTGGCAGTTCAAGCAGGTCCCTTCCAGGTACACGTAGGAGCTGCGGCTCACTTCATAGACAGACTGGGCCTTGCAAGAGACACACTCCAGGGAGACGATGGGGACCGTCCCCTTCTTCAGTAGCACCTGGGAGAGAAAGCACAGTGAGCCCACAGAAGCAGAGGTGTCAGCAGAATCCCTCCCCAGAGGATAACTGGAGCAAGCAGAGTCTGTGTTAAGAAGAAAGAGCAGAATTCTGAACTATGAGAATCTGAATTCTGCACCATGAGGCCCTGAATCCCACAACCAATATATTTCTTTTCTTTTTTTTAGGTTAACTTGTTTGTAACATCTGATTTTATTGGTAATTTTGAAGTATATTTTATGTAAACTGCTTAGAGGTTTTGATCACTGAGCAGTATATAATTTCTATTAAATAAAGATAATTTCTGCAAAACTAATGGATTTACATAATTTCCCCATCATTTTGTGTGATTCATTCTGTTACTTAAAATAATCATTTTGCACAATGTAGGCTGTAATCTATAGGATGACCAGGGGCAGGGGGAAGGAGGGGCAGTCCATGTGACATACAGGCCTAGAAGGAGTTTTCTCTTACAGGACTAGAAAGATTCCATGTTCATCAAAAACAACCTTCCCTAGCCTGATACCCTACAGTATTTTGGACTACAGTTCTCATCAGCCTCAGCATCATAAAACGGCTATGCTGGCTGGGGCTAATGGGAGTTGTATTCCAAAACATCTGCTGGGTACCAGTTTAGGGAAGGCTGGCATGAACAGGTCCTTTTTCACACAGATGGAATATACAGACAAAGAGTGATGATTTCCCAACCCCACAAGAGGGACTTTGCATTTTGAGGGCCAAATCCCCTCCAACCATTAGTTAATACTACACAACTTGGCTCCAGGGGACTTTTTCATCAAATTTATTCCAGGCTTCACTAAATTAAAGGTGACCAAGTTTGTCTTTGCTTCTGCTTCCTGCCTACATCAGATACGTTGTGTTTTACGTTTCTATTAGATGCCTTAGTCTCAGAATCCTAAGTTTATAACCTGCTACCTACAGCACTTGGGAGGGACTTGTTCAGCCCATATCTCCATCTTAGAATCAACTCTGCAAGCTGACCTCACGGCTGCCTCTTCAGACTACTTAGGGAGTCCTGTTGGTTTTTATGGTTTTTCTTCATTCCACCCACCCCTAGCTCCTGCTTTGTGTAACATCTTGATGATGAAGAGTTCTGGAGAACTCAAAAGCTTTCCACACTTGTGTAACACTTTGGTTGGTCCCACTGAAGCTATTGCCCAACTGTGGATGGTTGGAGAAAGGGGAATACTGTTCACCAAGGTTTTCCTCAATTACGCAACTGAAAACAGGACTGCTGACCGATTAAGCAAACAACACACAATGAGTCAAAAGGGCAAGTATGAAAAAGGCTTGGAAATGAGAATTGAATGGCAAATGCTTGGAATTCCCAGCTGGGTTCCATAGGGAAATGCTTTGCTAAACCCTGGCACCCCAGGATGGCCTCCACTTCCATGGGACACTTGTCTCTCCAACAGCGTAGGAAACGGTCTCATAATGAGCCAGATCATTGGTCCAGCTACCTCAATGCTGCCTGCACTAACTGGCAGCATCTCTCCAGGGAATAATATAACATGTAGTTAAACTATGGAACTCACTCCCACAGGAGGCAGTGGTGGCCACCAACTTGAATGGCTTCAAAAGAAGACTGGGCAAATTCATGGAGGTGCCAAGTAGCCATGATTGCTATGCTCTGCTGTGCTCGTGGAAAACAATCTTACTCGGCTACGAGTGATCACCAAAGAAGAAAGCTCTGCCTTCATGTTTGGAGGCAGCAATGCTTCTGAATACCAGTTGCTGGAAACCACAGGAGGGGAGGGTTGTTATTGTGCTCAGGTCCTGCCTGCAGGTTTCCCTTTGGGACATCTGGGTGGCCTCTGTGAGAGCAGGATGCTGGACTATGATGGGCCTCTGACCCAATCCAGCAAGCTCTTCTTGGATTATTACAAATTCTTTCCCAACCCTACCTGGAGATGCTGGGGGTTGTACTTCTGCAATACAAATAGAGTACTTGTATTGCCTTCTGCAATACAAAGCAGATGCTCTACCCCTGAGCTATGGCAACTGTGAGATACTCTGGCTATTGCGCCATTATCTCCATGCAACTCTAAATAACTACAGAAGCCAAGGCTGTCTCTTGAGGCTTCAGGCAATAATAGGCATTTTTGACAGTAGCGATAGAGCTGCTGTTTAATGTGGCAGGCTGTTAAAAGAGCACCAAAGCCCTCTCTCCGCAGAGCAAGATTGAAGGGCCCCATCTGTTCCTCCCGTCCCTGCAACAGTCAAATAATTGTTTTGCATTCATGTATGCAAGCGAGATTGTACGGAATGTCCTTGAAAGACTATCAATTTGACTTTGGTTCTTTCTGCCTCCCCCCCCCCACTTCCTCCTTCCTTCCAGTCTTCAGTTTCCAAAAGAACAACACACACACACAAACACAAAAGGAAAGAGGGAGAAGAGCAAGAGGGAGATCAAGGCAGTAAGAATTTCCACTTGCAGACAAACGGCATCTCGGGTTGCCAAGCCTCTCCTGGAGCTGGTGATAGAAACCATAAGGTTTTTTGGCCTGCAGATTCCTTTTGCTGCTCAGTTTTGTTTTGTGGCCTACCGATAGGTGCAGTTATTTTAAAAAGAAGGGGGAATGTGTGTGTGTGTTACCCTCCCTCTCTCCCTCTGCTTTTTCCAAGGCACCATGGGAAGAAAAGCAAAAAAGAAAAGCCTCGGCTATCAGCAAAAGGGTTCTTTTTCTCTCCTAATGTTCATACAGTGGTACCTCGGGTTAAGTACTTAATTCGTTCCGGAGGTCCGTTCTTAACCTGAAACTGTTCTTAACCTGAAACTGTTCTTAACTTGTTCTTAACTTTAGCTAATGGGGCCTCCTGCTGCCGCCGGGCCGCTGGAGCCCGATTTCTGTTCTTATCCTGAAGCAAATTTCTTAACCTGAAACACTATTTCTGGGTTAGCGGAGTGTGTAACCTGAAGCGTATGTAACCTGAAGCGTATGTAACCCGAGGTACCACTGTATTTGTAGATGGGCAACTCTGGGCATTCCACGCCTGCCTCTGCAACCCCACCCAACACACTGGGCTATCCTAATCTATCTGGCAGCTGTCTCCCTGCAGAAATGGGAGCCATGTAGCTCAGTGGGAGAGCATCTGCTTTGCATGCAGGAGGTGCCAGGTTCGATCCGCAATGGCATCTCCAGGTAAAAAAGACTGAGGTGTCAGGGTTGGGGATGAGCTCCCTTTCCCCATGAGGCCTGGAGAGACATTTGCAGAGACAACAGTGATGGGCCAGATGGGCCATTGATTTCACATATGGCAGGTCTGTGTAGGAAGAGGAAGATCCCAATGTCAATCCCCGGTAGGGCTAAGAAACACCCCCTGCCTGAAAACCTGGAGAGCTGCTGCCAGTTAGTGTAAACAATACTGACTCAGTATAAGGCGGCTTCCTATGTTCCTGTTTAAGTCAGCCCTTTATTCAGAACCATGAGAACTGGAATCTTACATTTTAGTTGAAGGAATATCGATGGGATATAAAAGGAATATAGATACAGCACTTGCTTTGCATACAAAAAGTTCCAAGTTCAGTTCCTTCAGGAAAGGCTAGGAGAGACTCTCTGCCTGAAACCTTGGAGAGTCACTGCCTGCCAGTGTAGTCAGTACTGAGCTAGAGGCACCAAAGGTAGAACTCCACATATAGCAACGTGTGTGTGTGTGTGTGTGTGTGGACCTTTAGGACCTGCTGCTTATCAATGAAAGCAGCACTTTCAATTTCCTTTGCAATCTTTAACATGTTTCCCTTGCTGCCCTTCTCCTGTGGCCGATGGGGCAGCTGAAGCCACAGGAGACTGACTTCACCACAGTCACACTGTGAAACTGTGGCAGAGCCAGAATGCAAACCCAGGACTCCCAAATCAGAGTTCATCCTATCCCACTTGTGCACTTTTGGGAGGGGGGGCATTTTCAGTCCAAGGGCCACATTCATTTGTGAACAACTTTCCAGGGGCCACATGCTAGTGGTGGGTAGAGCCAAAAGCAGTGAAATATCTATGGGAGCAGAAATCCTGGCACTTTTCGGCTCAAATTTCACCTCAGAACCTCAGCCTCAGCCATGAACATGCAACACCAGTGTGGCATAATGGTTAGAGTGTCAGACTCGGACCTTGCAGGCGAGAGTTCAAATTACATGAGTAGAATGTGTCCTTTTATTTAAAATGCATCTCTGGGTTATTTGTGAGGCATAGGAATTCATTCATATTCCCCCCCCAAAAAAAATATAGTCCGCCCCCCCCACAAGGCCTGAGGGACAGTGGACCGGCCCCCTGCTGAAAAAGTTTGCTGACCTCTGGCTTACGGGTATTGCAAGCATTACAGAGAATATGTGTGAGGTGATGTGAATGCTTAAAAACGGAAAATTTTGTTCTGGGTAGCACTGCCATGATGGCTGGGGCTGATGGGAGTTGTAGTTCAAAATATCTGGAGTTGCAGAGAAAGATTTATGAAGACAGAACAAATTCTCAGATTCATTGGGGAGGCAGGTGTGAGTGGCTCTAATTCCAGGGACCTTAATGCAGTCTCAACAGAGCACCACGATCATCAGTACGGACTAGGGCCCTGCGTGGCTGTTCACACAATTAAGTACCAGTGGAGGGGCATTCTCAATGAGAGTATGAGCCTGCCTTTCCCTACTGCCCTGAAGCAACCCGCAACAGCAGTACAGGAAGGTACTGTTTGAGGATGAAGAGCAGAGAGGACTCCATGACACTAACCGTTTGATTTGTAGCTTCAGGACTCATCCCCGTTTTCCAGACGGCGAGGTCGAATGTGTACTCCACATCTGCTTCCAGTATGGATCGGGAAACAGTAACGACACCCCCTGTGGCAGTGAAGTTGAGCGCACACCCCGCAGATGAGCTCTGTTGCACGTAAGGAAACAGGGAGGAGGAGGGCAGAGGAGACATTCAAAACCTGCCTTAAAACAGAAGGTCAGTCCTGTCCTGAGGGTCTGAGACCAGAACCTGGGTATATGTCAAACTTCTTCCTGTTCTAGTACCCTCATCTTGTTAAAACAGGCTGCGCCAACCATGATGGGGCTGACTGGAGCTGATGGGAGCTGTACTCCAAAATCTTAAGGGCACCAGGTTGGCATGCCAAAGCAAAGAGGGGAAGTGAGTAAGAGTAAATGCAGCTTCCATGCCTACAAACGGCCTCCGGTGGCCAAACTTTTGGGTTGCTTTTCTTGTAGGGCATACTTCAGGGCAAAATATGTATGCCGCCAAAACACTATTTTGGAACAGTCATGAAAGATAGCAAAATAAAGGTGGTGTGAACCAGGGCAGGTGAGTGTCCCTGCACAGTCCTGGGGCTCTGTTCCTAAAATTGGGCAAAGGAAGTCAAACATTTGAACCGAGGGTGTTTAATGGGAAAACACCACCGCAGTCTAATGAAAAAAACTTCTTCTTTGTGGGGTGGGAATCCAATGCACAGGTATAGGATAGGAAATACCTGGCTTGTCAGCAGAACAGGTGGATATCTGGATTGTAGCTGATCCCAAGCTGAACCTGAGACGGCAGTGTAATGTGACTGCCAAAAAGGCTAATCTGATTTGGGAGTTGGTTAATCAAATTATGATTTCCAGTGCATAGGAATCAATCACCTAGGGATGAGGTGGGGGCTCTCCTTGATCTAACTGGATTTTCTGCATTGAGCAGCGGGGTTTAGATGACCTAATAAACCCCCACCCACTTGTATCTCTAGAATTCTATTTTAGGCCACATACATGCCATACATTTAAACTAAACTTTGTCTGCACCTCCCTCCCCCCTCCAAAGAATCCTGGGAACTGTAGTTTATCCCTCAAAGAGCTACACCCTCAGCAACCTGAACAAACTACAACTCCTAATATTCTTTGGGGGGGAGGGAATATGCCTTAAATATATTGCGTCAATGCAGCCACAGTCTTGAGCTCAGCAAGCCTTAAGCCAAATTCAGCTACTGTGCCCCCCGCCCCAGTTGCCAATCCAAAAAGCAAAACACATCAAGGCAGAAAGCAGGGGGAGAATGGGGACATGGGGTCTCGGCTCACAATGCCCTTCCCCCTTCTCAAAGTACAGATCTCCTGCAGCACTAGTTCCAGACCAGGCTTCTAAGTCTTTAAAAGGTAAAGGTAAAGGTACCCCAGACCGTTAGGGTTCTGGGGTTGCAGCGCTCATCTCGCTCTATAGGCCGAGGAGCCGGTGTTTGTCCGCAGACAGCTTCCGGGTCATGTGGCCAGCATGACTAAGCCACTTCTGGAGAACCAGAGCAGCGCATGGAAATGCTGTTTACCTTCCTGCCAGAGCGGTACCTATTTATCTACTTGCACTTTGACGTGCTTTCGAACTGCTAGGTTGGCAGGAGCAGGGACCGAGGAATGGGAGCTCACCCCATCGCGGGGATTCGAACCGCCAACCTTTTGATCGGCAAGCCCTAGGCTCTGTGGTTTAGACCACAGCGCTACCCACGTCTAAGTATTTAAAATGATGGAAATTACCCACAAGTGCACCCCCACCCAGCTGCTCCTTCACTCAAAGCCCAGGGTTTGCTTACCTTGGAGGAAGACATACAAGACCACTGATAATGCAACGGCGTCTGTTCCCAGTCTTCTAGGTTAGGGTCATATGATTTCTCCCCATCCAAGATCAGGTCCCGGGTGCTGGACCACACACGGTACGATCCTCCATCAATGATGGGCACCAGCTTGTTAGGAGTGACAGTCACATTTGCGAAAATGCTCTTGGACAGTGGTGTGTCTCCGAAAGAGACCAGGAACTTGAAGCAGTAGGTGCCCAGGTCGAGTGCCAGCTTAGGGATAACCAACTGCGGCCGGCTGACGTCCACGTTGGACAGGAGGACTTTGTCAGAGGCGCCCAGTTGCAGGCAGCTGGGGGCTTTGTAAATCTCCCACACGTACTTGGTCTGGTACCTAGTGCAGCCCCGCAAGTCAAGCTGGGCTTCCAAGTAATTCTTCTGCGACCGCTTCATGACCACTTGCCCAGGTAATGCCAACTCAGCTTCTGGTTCTTCGCATTCCAGCACCTGGACCGTGATGGTGAGCTGGGCAATGGAGAAGCTGATGAGGTTGGAGGCATTCACTTCCACCAAGTAATCCCCATGCCTTAGGTAGGTATGGCTGGCGGATGGCACACTTGTCCTTTGAGCTGGAGAACCATCTCCAAAGTGCCACCAAAAGGCAACTTGCCTTGCGCTGGGCAGCACAGACACCTCAAATGTCGTTGTCCGGTTAGCAAAGGAGCTGACAGGCAGGAGGGAAAGTTGCATTATGATGTCTTGGACTTCTATCACGATGGTTATGTTTAGGCTGCCCAGACGGTTCCAAGCGGTGAGATGGATCTCCAGACGACCAGCAGCGTCCGGGGTATAAGAAATGCTTCGGCCTTCCATGCGGACCTGGGAACGCCCGTGGTCTCCCTCCAAGGAGAGCTGCCACAAATATGACACCCGCGAGCCACTGTCAACCTCAGCTGTGAAGCGCCTCTCTATTCCAACAGGCATGCCTTGCTCACAGCAGTCCGTGACCTTCAAGCCATGGATGGCCTCCAGCACCACAATGAGGACTTCCGTGTAGTCCACACTGATGTGGTTCTCTGCAGTCACCCTTACTAAGTAATCTCCAACCTGGGTGAATGTATAGGTGAAGCTGGAAGAGTTGAGTGCCATGGAGTGGTTCCTGCCAACACTCATCTTATAGCTCACAGAGGAACCAGAAGCCACCCCAATGACAAAGTTGACCTCTTCCCCAGGCTCTAGCACCTCCTTGCCCACAGTGAGTTTTAGGCCCTGGATTGGGTCTTCCACCGTCACGCTGTGGCAGGCCACATCCCAGCTGACATCGTTGGAAGCATTTAAGCAGACAGAGAAGACTCCAGGTGAGGGGAATGTCAAGGCCACTCTTTGCCCACATATGGTGGTGTTCAGCAGCTTCCAGGTCCATGCTACATCAGAACCCCTTTCCAGCTCCCCAGAGAAGTTTACCTCTGAGCCTGACTCAACATAACCAGTATAATTCAGCCTCACGGTCCTGATCCTCACTCCTATGATGGGCTCCTGAATGTACACCACAAGCGTTGCATTGGCAGAGCCAAATTTGTTCTCTGCCACAACGGTAACTGCTTTGGCACCAGGACTTGGGAAGGAATGTGTGATGGCAGAGGAGGCAGTTTGGAGAATGAGACCATCCTCCAGGTACCAAATATATATCAATCCAGTCCCAGCAGTGACACTCGTACTTATGTTTACAGAAATGTTGACCGCAGCAGGGTTGGGGGAAGCGATGGGCTTCAAGACACCAACCTGCTCAATGAACTCCACTGTCTTGTTCACTGTTGAGCTCCCCAGCATATTTGTGGCTTTCAGGTGGATGACGTAGACCCCTGCTTCCAGGACAACCAGGGAGAAGGTCTTCCCTGCAGAAGTCTGCACAGGGTGGTTTTCCTTCAGGAGAGTCCAGTTGTAGGAGATGTTGGTGCCCTCCCTCACTGCCGCCTGCATCTGGAGCGTCTTGTTGGTGAGGAAGTAGGTGTCATCCATGAGGTCGCCACCGGCAATGTGAAGCCCTTCGATCTGCTCCAAGACGTAGATGAAGATGCTGTCCTGCAGGCACCCAATCTCGTTCTCTGCAGTCACGATCACATTGAACGTCCCAATTGAACGGAAAGTGTAGGAGATGGTGGAGTAGCCTGGGATGGGGGTGCACCTATCGCACAAGATCCAGGAGTACCGGATAGCAGTGCCAGCGAGGAGGGTAGCCGTGAAGCTCACAGAACCATTTAGAGGCACCACTGTCCTGCTGGCATTGATGGTCAGGCCTTGAAGGCGCCTCTTCACTGTCACATTAAGCCTTGCTTCACGGAAGCTCACATTGTTCCAGCCCGTCAGGGTGATGGCATAGGTGCCACTCTTGTTGTAGGAGTGGGTGATGAATTTCCCCAGCTGGCTCATGCCATCCCCAAAGTACCACAGATAGCTCACGTTGGTCCCGCTAGCGTTGGCAGAGAACAGGTAGACTTGGTTCAGTTCCAAAACCTTCGAGCCGTTGGACTCAATCCTGACGACCCCAACCGGCTCTTGGACTTCCACGAAGACTGAGTCGTTATTGAAAGATACGTTGTTGCAGACTGTCACTGTGACCAAGTAGACACCGGGGGCTTTGTAGGTGTAACTAACTTCCGTCCCACCAAACCGAGTGGATTCGTTTGTCCCAAAGTCCCAGAGGTAGCGATAGGGGTAAGGGGGTAAAGCTGTGACTTGGAACTTGCTTTCGTTGCCCAGTCTCACGAACTGCGGCCTTATGAACAGCGAGACGTTGGTGACCTCTGGCTCCACACAGACCTCGGTGTAATAATGAGCTTTGTTGACCTTGCTTGAGAGGACCAAAGAAAGGTGAAAGGTGCCACTGCGGGTGAAGTTGTGCCTCACCGTTGGGTCCCCATTCACGGTGACGTTGGATGACCCATCTCCAAATGTCCAGTCAAAAAGGTAGTCCTCTGGGTTACCAGAAACATAGGCAGTAAGTTGTACATCGGGGTGCTCTGGGATACAAGTGGAAGGCTCAATCTTGAGAACCATCAGCACAAATATCCGGACAGGAACAGCTTGGGAAACGGAGTTGACTGGATTCGTTGCTGTGACGTTTACTGTGCAATTCATCTCCTTTAAATAGATGTGCATCACGGATGCCACGGAACTGTTCACCACGGTCCCGTCACCCATGTCGAATATCCACAGGATGCTGTCCCCTGTTTCCACGGAAGCGGTGATCTCTACTGGCGTGCGGAGCTCCATTGCTTCCTCCAGAACCACCTGCAACCCGCTAATCTCTTCAAAGACACGGTAACTCTGGAATGTTTCTACAGCACTAATGGTGTTGTTGGCTCTCAGGCTGACGTTGTACATCCCCTTGTTGCTGTAGGTGTGGACTATCGCCGGCAGGCTTTGCACAGACGCCACAGAGCCATCCCCAAAATCCCAGGTGTAAGAGACCCCATAGCTAGATGGCAGGGGGACAGCTTTGAAAGTGACAGGGCGACCAGCAACCAAGACATCTGCATCAACTTCCAGGGTCACTTCCATCAGGTAAGTATAGATGTGGACAGGAATCGTGTAGGTCAGGTTCTCAAATTCATTTGATACTAAAACACTCAGGATATATTCACCTGCATTTGTGACCAGGCCGGGGAGAAGGGGGCGGAGGGGGAGAGGGAGAGAGGGAGAGGGAGAGAAATGAATAAGAACTTCCCACTCCTGTGGTTTCTCTCTTTGAACAAGATGTGCATATTTGGTAGATGAAGGATAAGCAACTGTGAAATGCTTACTTTTGAGGATGTTTCGATTTGCATCTTAATCATTTTTTTAATTTAAAAAATCTGTACTGTTTTTACTGCTCTGTTGCATGCTGATCTGGGCATCTTTAGTTGGAAAGGCAGGGCAACAGCAACAATATTTCATTTCATTTCATTTCATGGAGAAGGGAAAATCTGTCAATTTCGGTTTCTCTCAGTTTCCCATTTTTCCAATCTTATGTTGTTATCCAGATCCGTTTGGAAACATTTCCACATCATGAAAATCCATCAGCATCTCAGTGCTAATTTCTCCCACTATACAAATCTTTCTATAAAATCTTGCCTAATATGCACATTTTTATATAACAATTTCCCCTAATACAACCAACTTTTGTATGCTGTTTTCAGTAACTGTACTTCAAAATTCAGAGGTGTGAATTTCTGAGGATGGCAGAGTTTCAGTTCTAATATTATTTCAGAAAGGATAAATTAGGTAAGGTTGGTTGCCATGAAGGGAGAACTGAATTGATTTTCTTCCCCATCCCCATCTTTCATGTCAGAGAGGGGACAGGACCAAATGAGGAACACTCAGCACTACAGAGACTGTCTTCCAGGGTGGAATGAGAGAACAAATCAAGCAAAAGTACTTAATCTGAACCATTTGCTCTCAGAAACACAGAATCTGGAGCACACTGGTTTCACTTGCCACACAGAGCGTATGCAGATTTGAATGTTATTAGATAATTTCATTTTGCGTATTCATTTATTTATACCATTTGTGCTTGATGTTCAAAACATCATGCATAGAAAACCTCATAAGAAGAACAAACAAAAACTTAAAATACAGCCAGATTAGCAGCAGGAGAAATCCTCTGAACCTAAGTAAGTTCCCAAGTGGTCCCCAGAAGAGGCAAGTCTTGCAACTCCCTTCTAAAGGCCTGAGATGTATTCTAACAGCCCTGAAAAGGCAATTATCACAAAAAAGCTCCTGAACTGGTGAAATGACAAACACACTGGTTTTGTGTGACAATCCCTGTTGATTTGGCGGGTTCTTCCTCGTGCAGGAACCTTTCTTATAAAACCCCCACAGTGCATTTGCCTGCTAATTAATTGCAAACTACATGACAATCACAATAACATGGGATCAGACACCACATTCATGATATGTAATTCTTGAAATATAAAATGTTGCAATTGGCGCTGTATGATGTCCTACATCTCCCACGCCATGAGAGAACTTGGGGGAGGAATCCTACCAAAAGGGGTCTTTGTCTTCCAAAGACCATCCATCAATGGGAATTTCATACAAGGCCATTATTCACCACACTTAATAGCAGCCAGTTGGCTAACTACTTCTTGCTGAGGTCAACCTGACCTCCCACAGGGATGGAACACAGAGCAGAGCACCAGAAGTAGTTCAAAAATGCCAAGGGAGAACATTGGGGAGAGGCAATCTCAAAGGAACTTGCTTTGTAGAGCCACTGAGTGCTGTCTGCGCACACAGGAGGCAGCAACTAGAAAAGAGGAAGGGGCCATAAAATGAACTCTGGGAGTTGGGATAGCTCAGTCAGTAAAGCATTAGACTTTTAATCTCTGGGTCATGGGCTTGAGCCCCACACTAGGCAAAAAGATTCCTGCATTGCAGGGAGTTGGTCTGAATGACCCTCATGGTCCCTTCCAACTCTATGATTCTCTGAGTTCCCAGCTGCTTGTTGGGCCCATTTGCGTAGTCAGATACTTAGCTGTGATTCCTGCATTGCAGGAAGTCCATTGAAGGGACTTTTGGGTCCCTTCAAAGTCTACAGTTCTATGGCTATGATTCGCATCTACACAGAAAGTAGAAACTGTCCTAAGCACACATCCCATTTGCTCAATTGGCCATGGGGTCGCAAACAAAAAACAAAACAGAACACTTTTCTCACCTGATTCTTGGTAGGTATGTGATACATTATGCCCAATTACAACCTGATGGATGTTGGGGTCTGGCACAAGGAAAGACTCGTTATAGGGAGGCCTGAACTGGAAAGCAACACGGTCGCCGTCTCCAAAGTCCCACCTGCAGAGCAGAAAAGGCAGTAAGGTATGCAGTTGCAGGCAGGTAACAGATCTCCCTGTGGAGATGGCACTCCAGAATCGGTGGCACATGCCCTTCTGGCTTGCACTCTTTATAAAGACTTGAGGAATGAGATTATCACCCCTCTTTTATTGTCCATTCTGGGTCACCCAACCACTGCTACAGCGTCCTTTTTCTTGGCAGATCAAGATGAGCAGGTGACAGCAAAGGTTGAAAGGTTTTTTGCTGGGGCAATCAGAATAAGATCCACCATTTGACTATTGACTCAAAACCCCAAAATGTATTTTATATAATTGACTTTTTATTTCTGGTTTTTGTATATTGCATTGTTGTTTTATTCATTCAATTCAATTCAATTCAATTTGATTCAATTCAATTCAATGCAGTTGCAGGCAGGTAACGGAAAAGCTGGAAGGCCAACACAGCTGCCCAGTCCATGGAAAACCTGCTTTCCACCCCTGATGCATGGAGTGGAAACACTCCCCTGCGCAGCCTTTCTTTTTCATTCTGTTTTGTTCCAATCATACACCGGGAGAACTCACAGGAATGTGGCATCCACAGCAGAGTCCACTGTAACCGTGGCTGCCAGTTCCACAGTGCTGTTCTGAGGGACAAGGGGTGGGATCTCAGAGACCACCAGATCCTTCATCCTGTTCATCTTCTCCACAGTGATGTTGTAATCCACAGTGACGTTGCTGACGTGGTTGGAGGCAGTGAGCTATAAGGGAAGGGGAAAGAAAAAAATAGCTCTGGCACAGTATGGAACAGATATATAACCAAGGGGCATTTGCACCATGACATCTTTCAGCATCTGTTTCCCCCTCCTCTCCATCATCCACTCTGGGAGAGAGAAACGTGCTGGAAATCCTCACATGCTTTTACCCCTTCATTCCTCTCCATGTTACCCAACACGTAAGAACATAAATGCAAACAAACATAAAATCGTAAGAAGAACCTGCTGGATCAGGTCCAAAGGGGCCCATCTAGCCCAGCCTTCCTGTTCTCACAGTGGCCAACCAGATGCCCCAATGGGAAGCCCATAAGCAGGACCTGAGCAGAAGAAGACCACTCTCCCCTCCTGTGGTTTCCAGCAGCTGGCATTCAAAAGCACTGTTGCCTCCAACAGTGAAGGCAGAGCAAAGCCATCATGGCTAGTAGCCATTGATAGCAGCTGCCTGTGACTTACCGACAGCTTGTACACAGCCGGTGTCTGGTAAATAACATGGAAGACATCGTTGTAGAAGGTGAAAGAGCGCTTATCGTCCACGGTCCACCGGAAGGTAACGTCCGATCCGGCATCCATCATGGGGACGTAACTCTGCAATGGATGAGAACAGGTGGGCACATTTAATGTTTAATAGGTTATTGTATTTTAATATTCCGTTGGAAGCCGCCCAGAGTGGCTGGAGCAACCCTGCCAGATGGGCAGGGTATAAATAATAATATATTATTATTATTATTATTATTATTATTATTATTATTATTTCAGAGAAAAGTTTACATGTGACTTCAAATCGTGACCATTCTAAGAGCAGGGCCCCTGGCAAGTGGACTCCATCATTCTCAAACTGCTTTTGTCAAAAAGCAGAGGAGAAGTAAACCGTATGACAAACTCAGAAAGGGACGGATCTGACAATGATTAGCTGGGAAATGGTGCAACAGCCTTCCCCAGCCTGGTGGGCTCCAGATGTTTTGGACTGTAATGGCCACAGATGTGCTGGCAGGGGCTGATGGGAGTTGTAGTACAAAACACGCAGGAAGGCTGAGTTAGAACACATAAGCATTTTAGTGCATCAATTTCTGAACATACACATTTTTGCAAACCACTTCCCTTCATAGAATGCATTTTAAGTTATTTTCACTAATACATGCATTTTTTTACACCCACACACCCACTTTTGTGCACATATCTTGGCTGAAGCACTGCATTGCAAAATTCAGAAAAGTGCAAATTTCAAAGGATCAGTGCATTTCGGTTTGTGCATCGTTCCAGAAGGTGCAGAAGAGGCAGGGTGGTGCTTAAAGGAGAACCAAAGCAAATTTATCTCCTTACCCTACTTACCACACGGTTATTCAGCAAGACTCTGGTCTCTGGGTCTGGAGTTGCACGGAGGCCTCGGATAGCATCCTCTGCTTTCACAGTGATGGTGATGTTCTGGGAGCTGACGGCATTCTCTGCCCACAGCACTCGGGTGCTGGCATTTCCCCCAATGTTCTCCAGCATGACAACTGAGAACCAGGTATCATTGGTGTCCCTGGTGCACTCAGGCACAAGTGGGATGACTGAAGGCGGGCAGCTCCTTCCAAAGGGAAAGCTTTGGCTCCCCGCAAACCATCTAGCAGTTGCGTTCACTCCAGAAGAGATTTTCACCACCAGCCAAGTGTGGTTGGTTTCCACATAGATTCGGCCACCTTGCTCTGGAGGGTAAATGACGTGGAGGCCCGACACCGGAGAGACAGCCACAAAATCACAGGATAGGTTGGCGCTGAAGACTCCGTTCTCTACAGTGGCCCTCACGGCATACAGGCCAGGGCGGTCCACACCCAAATTCCCTTCCCCGATAATGGCTACTGTCTTTTCAGCAACAGAAAGGACTCTAAAGTAGCAGGTGGAGTCGTTATGCCAGCCACCGGCCTCAGGGTGCATGAGAGAGCCTGGCTCCCAGTCTGAAGAGTTCAGGGTGAAGTAACTCATCTGGTAAGATGGCACCTGGCTTGGGTGGCAAAGAATGAAGGCCCCAGGCCCTGCGTCATGCTGGATGCTCACCGTGTCATTTGGCCTGATGAAAGTGTCTTTGCTCCTGAAGTGCAACTGTGAAAGAGAGGTCACGGTCACTTCGATACTCCAAACCCAGCCCATTCTGTATGGGTCACTGCAGGCCCCCCCACCACACCTGTACTGCAACTGTGAGTTGAATGTTGGGTACAGGGGTTGGTTATGCTGGTCACACCCAACTGGGTACAGCAGGCTCAAAAAAACTTATTTACCTAAGATATTGTGCCCAAGTTTGCTTATTTCTTTCTTGCTCCCACTCTTGCTCTGGCATCTGGAGTGGCACACATGCTGTGCACCCAGGGGCGGGGCTACCCTCCCGCGGGGGCGCGGTGATGTCACCCCCCTCAGGGATGACACCCAGGGCGGACCGCACCCCCCCTCCTCCACCAGTGGGTCTGGGACTCTCGTTCCCCCCCCCCTTTTTTGTGATTTGTAAACCACTCTGGCAGCCCTTCTTGGTTAATGCACAGTGTAATGGTTCTAGGGGTTGCTCGTGCGTAAGCCGGTGCAAACACCTGGCTGGGTTGCCTGAGTGAACCTTTTCTGTCTGGACAGCCACTCACCCATGGCTGTCTCAATCGCTGGCAGAATCCGTCAGTGGGCGTTTCTTAAACTTCTTCTAGCAAAGAAGCTCTTTGACGCCTAGTCTCCTCCTACTCTCTCTGCGTGAAAGCCTTCTGCGCAAGGAGGGGGTAGGCAGCGGAGGACCCCTACTCTCCCCGCTGGTCCCCGGCAAGGAGTCATGGGACCGCCTCGCCGCTTCCCCCATCTGCCCCCCTTCTCCACTGGTGCTACACTGATTCTCTTCCCCAGAAGATGGGCTGCCTCTCCCAATCCCGGGACGCTCTCTGGAATCCCTCTGGATTTTGCTCTCTCCCTCCGGCACTGATGGCAGTTCCCTGACACACAGCATATTATTTAATTCCATCTGTTACATCTTCTCAACGGAATTGGTCAATAATGCAGCTATCTGACCATACAAGCCTCCTGCTAACCAACAACGCAGCCCAGGCTGCAACACATCAGAAGCAGACAACGGGGCAAAGCAAAACTAGTCAAGGTAGAACTAACTACTGAGCCCAAACAGACCCAAACAGAGGAAGGGTGGGGGCAGCGGCCAGGATTAGAAACAGAGTCTAGCCAGAAGCAATTGGAACTCAGTATATCGATTCCAGAAAATATTACTGAGTGACTTAATATGGCACAATGGTAGAAATATCCCGTATGCACTTTCGGTTCAAAACACTCACAAGGTACCGTGTGGAAGGGCCAGGTGGCAAGGTAAAAAGCGACTCTTTGAGTTCGCTCCTCCCTGACAGGTTTTCACAAGTGCGAGGAGAGGGGCTGGGCGAGCTGGTGGCAGAGTTGTTGGCACAAGTCTCCGGATCACAGCAGTTTTGTAGCGGAAGGCATGTATTGGTCAAAGGGCACCACAGGAGCCCAAGCGCACACTCCATTTCTGCCCACGTCCCATTCTCTTCCAAACTGGGTAACAGCTCCATGGTGTTCAGGACTTCCTTGCAGACTATGGGCAGGAAGGAGAAAACAGATAAATATTGCCTGAGTCTTGTCTGGGCTCCAGAGATACATTAATAATTTTATTTATTTAATCAAGAACATAATACTCCATAACATGTAAGATGTAAGAAACAGATGTAAAATATAGTTGAATGGAAATTAAAATGAAACACATGAAACCAAAAATCAAGGTACAATTTTGAGTTGTTGCATTCACAATATCTGGGAAGAATAATAATTATTGATATTGGGGGAGCAAAACACGTCCTTTTCGGTTATGTTCTGCTTGTAAATATGTTGTCTGGGTTGGGTGGGTTGTCTTCTGACATTCTTGTGTGACGCTGAAGGGTTACTAAGAGTTCCAAACAGTGGTGTAACAAAAGCTGGACAAAACAACAATGCTGGAACATTTGTGGTATGAAAAGTTACAGGATTTCAGCAGGAAGCTATGGGCATGCAATGATTGGAAAAGAAGCAGCATCTCTGCCCCCAAACCTTTGCAGATGCAAAGAGTATTGAAAGCTGGATTGTATATAACTATCCTGAGCACAAATAATCTTGAATAATGCACAATAAAAAGGGTGTCTGCCAGTCCCAAGAAAGCCCTGGTTTTCTGCTTCTCTGGAGGGTAGGACCTGAACCAGTGGATTCAAATTACAAGGAAGGAGATTCGGACTAAACATTAGAAAGAGCTGTTTGACAGTGGAACAGACTCCTTGGAAAGGTGGTGGACACTCCTTCATTCAAGGTTTTTTAAGAGAGGTCTGATTGCCATCGGTCAAGGAGTTTTTAGCTGAGATTCTTGCATTATAGGGGATTGACCCTTGGGGTACCTTCCAAGTCTACAATATTATGATTCCATAACGTTCCAATGCAATGCAGAAACTGGGGCATGAGACCAATTTCCTTCTTTTTGTACAAATATTTCAGATTCACATTAGCCAGAATTCCCAGCAAGCCACATAATGGCACCTCACCTTCTGTGAGTGCTGGGCGGTGCACTCGAAACCGGACTTGGACATCCCTCTTCAGCTCCTGAGTCACAAGCTCCAAGGCTACCAAATAACCCTCCTGCTGGAACGCCAAGCTGGGAAACACCACCGTCTGGAAAACACAACACTCAAAAGGTTCACAGAGCTGCAGGGTGCCTTAGCAGGGGAGATCTCGGCTGGAAGGGAACCACTAGCATTCCTCACCTCCACCGTTCCTGACGGGGCTGACAGCTCCTCGGTTTCCGTAGCGTTGCTCGTGGCCACAGGAGTATCAAAGGTGGGAGTGCCCAGGTAAAAGTGCTCAGCATTTAAAAGGATCTCTGTTTAAAAGAAACGGGTAGGGAAGGAAGTTAGCCTCTATCTCTTTTTCTTATGGAGTGACATTAAGAGGAGCCTGTCGGATCAGCCCATCTAGTCCAGCATCGTGTTCTCACAGTGGCTGAACAGTTGCCTGTGGGAAACCTGCAAGCAGGACCCAAGACTAAGCACATAACATATCTCAAGTTATGTTATATATTTGTTGCTATATTTTAAAAATCCCATTTTTATTTTTTTAAACTATCATAGCTATTGGGAAACAGAAGAATCAATTGGACAGAAGATGCGCCTACTTTGGACACCATCTAGTTATTTGGATACTTTCAATGGGAAAATGTACCTGGATGCATCTTCCAAAGTTATTATTAAATTTCTCTCCACAAGCCTTTGATGGACAAGCAGTCTTCTGATTCTGTAAAAAGCAAACCTGCCCCAGGCAGCTGATGGGCAGAGCCTACTCAGTGCCTGGATATAATTTTCATGGACTGGAGGAAGAACTTCTGTGTCCTTTGTAACTCCTTGTCCTTCCCATCCAGCCAGAAAAAAAATAGAGTAAGTCACACAGAGCAGAAAGACTGCAAAGGATGAGAGAAATGATGCACAATGTGTTGTCCGGGTTGCAGAATTCTTGGTGCAGAATTTTAATGTTAAGTACAGAGCTCTGCCCACAAGCTGCCTCCAAGAGAGACCCTTCATGAAGCCACCCACCTTGCGGCTTGTGCTCGCAGACATAGCTGTGCTTGGCTGTGCAGAGGTCTGTGTTGCACTGGCCAGCCGGGCCCATCCGGACACAGTGGTCAGCATTGGACGGGTGAGGCTCTCCAGGGAGCCAGTTCTGACAGCTCTGCAGATTGAAGCCTTCCTCTCGCTGCAGAGGGCTGGGGCTTGCGTTGAACCCGATCCAGACATCCAAGCTCCTTTTTGGGGAAGAGAAAGTCCAGAATAGTATCAGGGAATCACAAGGCATTAAGCACACCACCGGTGCATGCAATCCGAATTCCAACACTGGAGGAGGCAAGAGCAGGAGTGCCAAAGGTAAGAAAGAGAATCCGCCTTATACAGAGTCCATCTAGCTCTTTAATGTGTACACCGACTGGCAGCAGCTCTCCAGGGTTTCAGGTGGGGGTAATTTCCAGCCCAACCGGAGATGCCATTGGGTACTGAACCTCAGACAACCTGCATGCAAATCAGATGCTCTACCACCTAAAAATAAAGCAAGCTTCTAGTCTTCATCATTCTGAATCAAGGGCTGATTTAAAGAGGAACATAGGAAGCTGCCTTACAGAGAGTCATACCCTTGATCCATCTAGCTCATTATTATCTACACTGATTGGCAGAGGTTCTCCAGGGTTTCAGGCAGGGGTCTTTCCCCAGCCCTACCTGGTGATGCTGGGGATTGAACCTGGGACCTTCTACATGCAAAGCAGATATTCTATCACTAAGCTATGGAGCTTCTCTAAAGAAGAATGGGAGGAAATGCTTAGGCTTCTGAGCAAGGTCAGTCAGTCAGTAGATTAAGCTGGAAGGGTCATGCCAAAAGCTCCATGGAAACTGTGATTTACCACCCTTCCTAATAAATCTAACCAACATCTAATTTCTTGGTGCTGAAATGGGCTGTTGTTCTGAGCACTGGTAACTCTTGCATTGGACTACCACAACAAATTGTACCCAGGAGTGTCAACAACAGATTCTCAGTAATTCCCATTAGTTCAAAATGGAACTGTGGGGCTACCAACTGGAACTGGCTAGGAGGATCGCTTTTTCCAGTTTTCAAACAGCTGCAGTGGCTGCCCGTCTGTTTTCAAGCACAATTCATAGTGCAGATGGTCATGTTTAAGGCCTTACACTGCTATATCAGTTGCTGGAAATGGCAGGAGAGGCGACTGCTCTTGTGCACGGGTCCTTCTTACATGTGCATCTGATTGACCACCAAGAGAACAGAATGCTGGACTAGATGGGCCATTGGTCTGATTCAGCAGGTTATTCTTATGTTCTTATGCTTAGGAGCTGGGGACCTAAAGGACCACTTTCAACCTAACTGATCATCATCCAGGGCCCTCCTCCACGTCCCTCTGAAGTAGAGAGCGGGTGATAACTGGAGAGAAGGCTTTCTCAGTTGTGACACCTCATACGGCAGCCTTCCCCAACCTGGTGCCCTCCAGATGTTTGGCACAACTCCCACACAGCCTGAGCCTGCATGGCCATTTTGCCCTAGACAGCTTCAACTTTTACAGTGCTCTCTCTTCCAGTTAACGGAGGTTAAAAGACAGCAGGGTCCAAAAACACAGGAACAACCTTGGCTAGAAGGGGTGGAGGCACTGAAATGGATGTCTGCATGATTTAGCAGCCGCATAAGCAAAGAGCGTGGCTGGAAGAAGATGTCACATTTTCGAAGCCTGACATTACACGAGCACTCTGGACACATCTGGTTGGAGTAACAACCCTTCTCACCATTGGGGACATTTCTCTCCCACTTGAATCTGCTCTGAAATTGCAGTCTCTGTTGTAATTCAGGGAGGCTGCTGAGAAATGTGCATTGTCCAGATGTACCGAAATCAGCCTCCGAGTACAGCAGCCTGCTGCTCCTTGGGAAAGCTTGGGGCTTGTAGGAGCAGCACTCCTCTTTGGGTGCCTCTGATGATCCACTGCTATGTGGCTCAGTTTCCATCGGACTGTGGGAAATGGAGCAAACCAGGACCCTGGAGCCACCAACTTTTGGCTCTGCCTCTCTAAATCACTCTGTTCCAGCTGGTCATTGCAATATCTTTGTAACTAAGAACTAAGTAACTGAGCTTCCTTCTTTCCTCCTCCCTTCCAACTGCCTTTTCTTTTGTGTTGTGCCTTTTAAATTGTAACTCCAAGAGAAGGCATTGCCCTATCACTCATGCTGCAGGGCCACTCTGGACAGCACCAGTTATTAGATAATCAGAGTAAAAGTATGCTTTTTGCTTGTTTATGTATTTGTGTTACTGTACTTTATTCTTGTTATGAATCACTTTGGGTGCCTTTTGTTGTTGTTGGAAGCAGTACATTTTCAATAAACCAGTACATTAATTCAACTATGACCAAGCCTCTTCCCATCTCCACCCCTGCTGAAGTAGTGGGTGTCTTCCATAAGACAAGACGGCGTGGCTTAGCTTGCAAGAAGATAATAAGTGGTTCTCCTACCACTGAGGCTCTTTGCTGGTCATAGTAATAAATGAGGTCATCTCAAAAAAGAGCTTTTGCAGCGAAAAAACGGTGACAAAAATAACTTGGCCTTCCAAGCCAGTAGGGCGTGCTTTTTCTTCTTTTTAAGCTACAAAAATATGTCTAAAGAACAAGAAACCGACTGTGTTTTGCTCCTGAGCAATTGGCTTCATTTAGAGACTAGGAAACATCCAAGCCGCTGCCATCGCTGAAGGCCCAGGGAGATTTTCCTGTCCTAATTCCAGCTATGATCTAACTCTTAACTCATTCCCGCCCCCCTCAGAAAAACGACGAGATGGACTGCGCCTCCCGCCTGCTGACCACTGGCTCAAGTGGGGGCTCTTTGGGCAAAGGTGTCAGTGGGCAGAAGGGATGGGCAAATCTATTCGCTTTGGCTGCTCTCCATTTCTCATTTCTCCAGTCTTAAATTTGGTTCTCCACATTTTCACGTCAGTTAGCTGATTATTATTTTTGAAAAGTCCTCATGACAAAATGCATCAGCATTTGGATGTGGATTTTTCCTAACACAAAAACTTTTGTATGCAACTTTCCCCTACTATGCATGTTTTTCCAAAGCATTTCCCCCTAGCAGAATGCATTTTTGCAGAAAAGTTTTATTAATTTCTGCATTTCCATGCACACTTTGCCTCCCCCCCCCCCGTACATACATTTTTATACACGTCACTTGGCTGGAAAACAGCATTGCAAAATGTGGAGAAGTGTAGATTTCGTTCACCTACTCTTTCGTAAAGTGTGGATTAGGTAGATTCGCCTTTAAATGCAAAGCGAATCAAATTTCTCCCTCACCCCAAGTGGGCACCATCTCCACCAAGCACTTCCTTCCTTAAGCACTCAACACCTTGAGGAGAGGTGGGGGTGGGCTGAAGAAGAGGAACAGCAAGAAAAAGAGGAGAAAGACATCAGGCGTTGCCTTGTTCTTATGTCTTCTGGGTCAGTACTTGTCATTGTGCTCCACCTTGGATTTTGATATGAGTGGGTGGCATGAAAATATTTTTTAGAAACAATTTTTTTTAAGCATCAACGGAGGGAGGGAGAGAGAGAGAGATGGAGAGAGGGTTCTCTGGCTGCCACACAGGCTAATGGGAAACAGATTCCTTCGGCAGTTGCTTTCCCACAAGAAACTGAGTATGTGAAGGACCTTCCAAGAAAATGCTCAGTAGCTCCACCAATTCATCTTCTATCACTGAACTAGGAGCGGGGGGCGGAGGGGGCGGTTGGACGGACGGGAGGAGGAAACTTCATCAGCTTGGAATCCTTTGCGCCCTGTTTATCTAATAGAACAGATCAAATAAATACAGCAATACCAGGACGTAGATGACACTGGGACGCGGGGCGGGGGTGAGAGGGAAAGCAAGGCGCACGGCAGCTGGGAAGGAGCTCACCCCACCGCGCCCCATCCCCTCCCTTGGGGGGTTTCATTCCGCCTTCAGCCCATCCAGCAAAATAAAATAAAATACACAGCAACACCCCAGCCTGCGCATGAATCGAAGAGGCAGTATCCAGCTACGTTCTACTCAGAGAAGTCCCACACAAATCAGTGTTCAATCCCACCAATTTCAATGGATCTGCTCAGAGCAGGACTAGCACTGGACATAACCCAAAGGCTAAGAGGGCAACTGGCCAGTGACTCTTAGTGACTCTACAACCAAAGGTTGGACGTATCAATAATCTCAGACTCCAACCCTGAAAAAAGCCCAAATCTGGGATCCAGAAGAAGGGCCAGTTAGGAAAATGGACTCGGGGCCAGGGCCTCCTTGAGCTGGAGAAAAAAGATTCATCAGGGTAGTGGCCTTCCCCCAACCTGGTGCCCTCCAGCTGTTTTGGACTGCAACTCCCATCAGCCCTAGCCAGCATGGCTCTTGAAACAAACCAGATGGGGTGCTGGCTGGGGGATGAAGAGAGTTGTAGTCCAAAGCAGCTGGAGGGCACCAGGCTGGGGAAGGCTGTGTTAAGGACTTTGAAGGGAATAAAACACAGATGTTCTCAGTCTTCTCTGTGAGGTATTTGAGCAGATGCCGGCTAGAGCCCAGTGCCGGAGGAAACTGGCTGTTTTTCCTCCAGACGGATGAATCGTGAACTACGTAATGAGAAGCAGTCAACAAAAGAAAGGACAGCTCCTCCAGGTGTCCTGTTTATTGAGCATTAGTGCTGATTTGCTTGCACAAAGCTTGCACAAAGGTTAGATTATATCTGGCCTTTACTGAACCCTGATTTCAGGGGGTTAAACTACAGTGGTATCTTGGGTTAAGTACTTAATTCATTCCGGAGGTCCGTACTTAACCTGAAACTGTTCTTAACCTGAAGCACCACTTTAGCTAATGGGGCCACCTGCTGCTGCCGCACCGCCGGAGCACAATTTCTGTTCTCATCCTGAAGCAAAGTTCTTAACCTGAAGCACTATTTCTGGGTTAGTGGAGTCTGTAACCTGAAGCGTATGTAACCCGAGGTACCATTGTATATGGAGATTTAGGTCCCTTCCAACTCTATGATTTATTTGCAGGGTGTTTCAATGCCTTACAATAAGTTATATGTTGTATGTTCACAAATTCTTTGTTCACCCCACACTTTTCAATGCACTGGCCTGTCCCCCTTCTCTTTTTTTTAAGGGGCTCTGTGGCGCTAAATTCACTTGAATTATATAAACCTAACTTTCCTGGTATGCGCTTGAATCCTTCCTGCAAAACACTTTGACAGTCTTGAGACGCCCAAAGAAGGAAAGAAATAAAGAGGAATAAAGTAGAACGTCCTGTATCTTGGCAGTGTCTAGGAAGGCTCAACAGGAGCTGCCGATTCCACCCACTATGAGGTGGAGGCAGGATAGGGGCCAAATTGCAAAGGATTTGATCGAGCAGAGCCAAAGCAAATTGCACAGTCTTGAGGAAACTTATGGTATAGCAATGTAGCCTTTAAAGTGACAGAGGGCTGGAGGTTGATGAAATCACGGAAAGGCAGGCCTGATACAGAGGCGATGTTTCTGACCTAAGATTGTGTCATGGGATCGTGTACTCTCTTCCCCTCCTCTAGGAGGAATTCGTTCAGTCTGCTTTTTTCAACAGACTGGCCCAACTTGATGGATCTGGGGCTTGATCGATGATTGAAACTCCCAACACGCACTCAGATTTTGCACTCCTTCAGATTTTGCAGTGCGGTTTCAGAGCACAAAAAGTATGGAACTCCCCTCCACACACACATTTTTACAGTTAAATGCATATAAAACATATATTTCAAAGTAAAGAACAGAG